ATTTCACTTTGGGATCAATAAACTATTGTTGAATTGATTTTCATTGAAAACCCATAACTGTGCAGCACCACCCATGACTCCAAAGCTATTTTCAGACCATGCAACCAGTGTTGAGCTGATAAACAGTGATGACACCTCACAACATTGGGAAACAAGGTTCTTGAGCAGCTCAGGACATGTCAGATGTCCTGACCTGGACTATGAACACCACCCACATCTTGCAAAAACGCTCAGCAGCATCTTTCCTTCCTGAGAACTCTAAGGAGGAACAAACTCCACCACTAATGACAAACTTTTACCACTTCATCCTGACTTTTGGATGTTCAGTGCGTTATACCAGCTGCCCTGCATACAGCTGGTCATCAGGACTATTCAGTGGATCACTGGCTCCCCACTCCTATACCTTATGGAGATCTATTCAACTGTCTGTTCCAACAGGCCACAAGGATCTGGGACGGTCCAATTAATCCAGCTCCAACTCTCTTTGCACAAGTTTTCCTTTTGGCAGACCAGAGTCAGAGGCTAGTTAGAGAGGAACAGACCTCCTTTGAGCCTTTATTTGACCCGACAGAGATCCGTGTTCTAAAGCACCAATAGGAACTCATCCTGATCTACAGACGGTCATAAACAAATTGGATAATTTTATTGTCTTTGGACAATTTCTGAAATTAAATATTTTGGTATGAGATTCAGAATTCATAAAAATCCCCCCAAAAAACAGCATTGAAAAAATTATTAAATAAATATCAAACCAGCAATAGCAACCATGAAACTTCGGGAAAATCACTAAACACCCAAAAATCAGCAACATCATACAAAGCAGTAACCATTAGTGAAATAATAATGAGCATAAAACTAATTTTTTAAAAACTATAAAACCAACCTTACAGTTTATAAAAACACAAATTATTACTAATTGATCAATTTAAAGTATAAATAAATAAACTAAAAGACATTATGACCATAAAACTAAGAACTGCATCACTATAATCAATATATGATAATAAATCCAATAAATAACCATTAGAAACCAATAAATAAAACAACAAATAATAGACAGTAAAAAAGTTAAGTAGTTATTATTTTGAAATCGCCAAATAACCGATATATAAAAACCATAAAATAAATAACAAAATCAACATTTTAATTAAGAAATAAAACCATACCACTAATAATAATACTATATAGATAATAAAAACACAAAGCTGGTCAATCACCATGATAAAACTAATTCAGTCGACCATAAAGTCAATAATTACAGCCACAACTCTAGGAATAAATAGCAGAACTAATGAACATTATTTAGTCAGTAATTAATAACCAAAAACATAATATATATATAAACCTAATACCTAAACAAGAATACATTGTAAAAGTGCAAACAGATAAATTAGACTAAAAAGGACAAACACTGTAAAAGAGAAATGCTGCAAAGACACTAAACACAGAGCAGCAAGGTTCAAATGTCCTGCAAACACATAAACGATGTCTACACACAAAAAACACGCAAAAGGAAAATGCTGCCAGTAGCAAAAACAAATGCAAATCATGAAAATCTACAAACGAGCTCTGCATATGAGTGAGCTCCAGACCACTATGGGGAGACAATCATTATCTCATATGGGACTTTGTTTCACAACTTTTACACAGATTTTGACAAAGACAGAAGAGAAAACTGGGGTTCAGACAGAAATTAAAAAAATACTCAAGTTCACGTTACCACTGAACCCACTGCATTATATACTGGGTTTGACGATATTGGGAAAAAGGAAGTCCAGTTACTACAGATTCTGCTACTAGTAGCGAGAAAAATGATAACTTTGTCTTGGCTCAAGCCTTTGCCTCCCACCCTTCAACAGTGGCAAGAAAGATTGAAGAATGTGTATATAATGGAAAAGATAACAGCAAAACTTCATGTAAAAATGGGCATTTTTCTGAGTGTTTGGACCCCAGCTATTTCCCACTTTGGATGGCCACTCTGATAAAGATGCTAAGTGTTATAAAAAGCTGCTAGGCCCCTTCACATAAAAGACACTGGATATAAACATTTCTCTTTCATGTGAGCCGATGAAAACCTCTAAATGTCAATTGCCAAAATGGACTTAAATGTTTGCTGAGACCCCCCCCCCCCCGTTTGTTTTTTTTTCTTTATGTAGGTGCATTCATAAATATACATATGAATGTGTGTTGGATTCCTAATAATCTTAAATAAAGAATGTTAAAAAAAAAGAAGAGAAGACTGTCTGATAACAAAATTAAACAGGTGGACATTTGATAACCCAGTATAAAAACTTAAAGACCAAAAAAAAAACCCCCACAAAGAACTGATGCTGCTTTTAGCAAGTCTGCGTGATTAATTTAAGGTCCTGCTGTTAAATGTTCAGTGGTGTAGGGGGATTTTACAGCCAAGATGGCGCCATAGATAGAGATAGCAGCTTGTGCCCACCGGGTTATCAGAGGGGACACACCAAAGAGGATTCAGCCTGAAACGACACTGGACTGGCTGGACCCCGGAAATGTAACGGTATTCCTGGAGGAAATATGCCAGACAGAGGGGAGGCACGGTCAAAGACCCAGAACTTTAGCAAATGAGCCGACATCAGAGCTAAACCAAGAGTGAAACCAGCATCAGCATCTCATCGTCTACTCCCTGATCAACAGGATGGACAAGATTATATAAAATGAACAACTGGACAGAGCTTCCTCATGGAAGTAATGGAGACCTGGCTGTGTGTGGAATCAGCAGGTCGGACAATTATCTGGGCTGAGAGCACATAAGACTCTGGTAGGACCAGAGGACAGTTGGTACACACAGTCTGCCATTACTGAGATGTCACCATAAAAATACAGACTCCACTCAGGGAAACAAAGTGCTGAATGTTGGAAAACTGTAAATTATTTACCAGTCTTATGTTTACATTTGATCACAGCTGCATTATAGAAATAGAAATATCTTGAGAGCTGTACTGAAAGAAAATTTGTTTTGTATACTCTGTGTACAAAATGACAATAAAGTCTGTCGAAGTATAAGTCTAAGTCTAACTAGGGATGCATGATATTCATCGAGCCGATTAAATATCGGTCGACTGCCTGAATTTTTTACCTGAAAACTTTGTGTGTCTGTGTAGGCCTATTTCATTATAGGTATGGAAACTAAATTAGTTTATAAATGTCCAAACCTGAGATATATCCTGAAATACAGGCATCAACTTGAATGATTTTTATTTATTCTAAACTGACATAAAGCCCAGGTTTCAACCACAACCCCTGGATCTAAAGAGGTTTGCATAAATTTTAGTACGACCCAGCAGTGCACATTGTACCTGTACCAAGTACTGTTTCCTTTTTCATGGTTCCTGCTCTCTTCTTTGCTCCTCCTCTTCATGCTCATTTCCTCCTCTATATCCTCTCCCACCTCATTCGTCTCCTCTTCCTCACTCGTGTTACTGTCATTATCATTTCCCTCTGCATCAACTCCAAAGCCTAAAATAACATTGGCCTTCTTTGCTACTACTGACAATAACAGTAAAATGTTTAATGCTTTTGCAAAAGAAAAAAGAGTAAAATCCTTAAACTCAGAAATCCAATACACGAAACAGCAAAAATACAACATGGCAAGTGAATACCTTAACCTATTTCTTGAGA